TACTTCGAAACAACGGTTTTCGTACATAGATTACGGCATTTACGGAGATAAGTTTTAGACATATTACATTCCAAAATATAATTTTGGTCAAAACGCTCGGAGTGTTATAAAATAAACATGGCGTTCTTCTGCAGACGCAAACAAAGATCCCATTTTAGCCAGAGACTAGATCGTGACTGTGTCCAAATTAGTCAACAGGGGAGTCGGTTTCAATAAGCAATCGTTTTATTACAAAGTCTTTAGCTAATTAAGTTGATTATATTCCGTCGTGTAAATTAAGCCCATATTTTAGGCTATTATTAGAAGCAGTTCAAATATTTTTAGTAAAAGAAGCCACAAATTTGACGTTTTAATCACGGATGATTCTTCCAATGCCAGCTTGCCCTAGTTTGATCGTGAAGCACCGTCAATTGTTGATTGTATACCAATTAGGGTTCCATTGAAGTTGGAGAATTGGATAATTCGGTTTTTTACGTTGCTCTTTATTACAGATTCCTTACTTGTTGGCCAAGTTCCACTTACGTTCTGAGCAAATTATTCGTTTCTTTTCTAATATAGCTTCATTTGGCGCTTTCGGAATTCGCCAAAATAAAGTCACCACGTGTTCTGGCGATGTTATTGATGCTTTTAATAAGATTATAAAGGTAACTGAAGAAATCTAATATTTGAACAACACAATATACGTCTTAAAAACCGTCAGTTCTAGATTCCAATAATCTAAACCCGGTGAAATTTATTTTATGTATACTTATGTGAATTTAAATTTTTAAAAATCCATATGAAAATAAATTACTATTATATTGATACTAACTTTAAAAAAGAAAAAAAACTAGTAACTTGACCCCGCGATGCACGCCTTTCTTTTGTTAGTAAGATGTATATATAGCAAAATTATAAATTTAGTATTACGATTTGTCAAAAATCACTGGTTTTAGTTTTGGTGGGTTTTTTTTCAAATACAAGTTGATGATTGTGATCATTTGTGAGTCATTTTATATAATTGCTCGGGAGTTTTTGAAAATATCAATCGACTCTAGACGACCAATTTGGAAGGTCCCGAGTTTGCAAACAAATATTAATTTTTATATTTCATGAAGTATTTTAAATGTCATAATAAATTAATAGAACTGGACCAAACCAATATTTCAAAAACAATGCTCAATAGAACTTTTAATATTTATCAATGTTATCAGAACCGGACCGGACATAAAATCGGATAGGCTTTCGGGTCATGGTTGGACCGGTTCAACCGGGTTGGACCGGGTTTTTTTATTTTTTTTATTATTTTATTAATTTTAATGTTGTAAATTTATAGTTTGTATATATATTTTATCTTTTACACTCTCTTTACTTTTATTATTTATTTTTTATATATAAACTATTCTTTCTATTATCCCAATGCCTTTTTTTCTTTTGTATTTTTTTACACTCTCTTCTCTCTCCTCTCTATTCTCTCCACATTTTCTCTCCCGTCGGCCGTCACCACTATATCTCTTTCTTGCTCATAAAATACTCTAGTTTTTGTATTGTCTCTCTTCCTTTTATTTTTATTATTTTTCTTCTTTTCCATCTTCTTCTTCTTAATCCCGTCGAATTCCGGCCACCAACGGCTGGATCTGTGAAATTCCGGCCACCCACCGCCTGCTCCACCTAGATCCGGCCATCCCCGGTGAATTTCACCCGAATCCCGCGGCCAATAGCCACCAACGAAGTGTTCTCGATGAGAACCCGGGTCATTGACCGGTTTCCAGGTTAGCCGGTTTTCAACGGTCGAACCGGATTTTTGTGATTTGGCCCGGGTTTTTGACTTTTCCGGTTTTAGGCATCAGATCGGCCCATTTTTGTTGCGGGTCGCGGTCGGACCGGCCGGTCCGGTCCGGTCCTAATAACATTGATATTTATAAAAGTATATTTAGACTACAAAATTGATGGGAATGTTCTTTTAAATATTTAATATATAGCTTAAAACAAATTATTTTAGAAGAAGTAAAAAAATAACTAGGGGTGACAATTGGTTGGAACGGACCGGAAATGACTTTTTCGGAAACTCTTCAATTATTTTCGTTAGTTAAAAATGGGTTCGAATTTCCATTTCGAAAAAGTCGGAATTCAAAAAATCATTCCAATTTCGGTATGCCTCAGAAAAATTTCAAAATTTTCGAAAATTGCATTAAACTATATTTTTTTATGTCCTACTTCAGAAATAATCCATTTTTTTTAAATTGCAATAAATATCTCATGCATTCAATTGTAAGAATATACTATAAACCTAACAAAATAAAAACCAAAAGTACCAAATCATCTACTGCAAGTCAGCTATAGTGTTCTCAAATGAAATAAATAAAGAAGAGAGGCTACAGTGTGGCTGATGATACAAAATTGTAGGGTTACAAAACATTACTAGGGTTTAAGTTAATTAGACAAAATATGATACAAATTAAAATGGGTTTTAGTTAATTCCAACCTCTCTCTCTCTCTCTCTCTCTCTCTCTCTCTCTCTCTCTCTCTCTCTCTCTCTCTCTCTCTCTCTCTCTCTCTCTCTCTCTTCTATGCGATGTCCTCCACGGTGGCGGAAGTTGAGGCGATTTTCACTCCTTAGAATCCCCTTGTCAGGGGTGGCACTAGGGTTCCATTGTTGACGACGGTTGATTCCCTCAATGGCACACTAGGGTTTCCGTGCGGATACAATGGAAACTGATAAAAGTGATTTAGAAAATTCACTGTATAATTTTCCGCAAAGGTAAATTAATTTTCGGCAAAGGTAAATTAATTTTCCGGACTTTTATTTGGGGTTTTTGGTCGTTTATTCTTATATATTATTTGATTAGTATTTTAGGGTTCGACGACTCATTTTGGATACCGAATTATTGAGACTCGACCGTAATCTATGAGCTCGGTTGTAGTTGCAGGTTATGGATTATTCTTTTGTTTCCTTTTAGGTTTAGTGTAATATATTTCTAAATATTATTTCTATATATTCAAAATATTTAAAAAAATTGGGTTCGTAAGTTTTGGCCAGATTCTTCTTTTCTTACAGGGTGGTGACTTGATTGAGAGAAATTGGGTTGGAAAAAATAAAAAAGAAAAACCCTAGTTTTTTCTAATCCAAAAATAAAATAAAAATAGAAACCAATATTATTTTCAGATTTATCGCTCAAATTTTGACCCGATATTGGTTTGACCCGCCTAATCCGCCACAAACCACTACAGACCGCCATAATCGATATTTAGAACACTGCCTCTAAACAATCTCCTTCAATAACAATTGAGCTTCGATCCAACCTTGTGAATGAGCCATTTTTAGTGCATGAAGGGCATCAAATTAAAAGCTTCACCATCTTCCACCCGAGGACGACCTTTCAAGCTTCGAATATACAAACACGTATACGCTATCCCAAGCCACTCCTGCGATTGTGTAAAAATCCTTCCCCGATGGAAAGCCAACATCACAGTTAATCTTTATCAACCCTAGAGGAGGCACCTTCCATTGCTTTTGGTGTTAGAATCTTCATTCCAAACGCCGACATAATTAATGCATGTTTAAATGCGTGAATATAATCTCGACTCCAATCAACAATCAGTTCCGGACTCATCCATTCCTCTTCGTGCACCACTTTATTCCGCTCTTCCCACACCTTACACATAACCACACCACGACCACTGGAAAACCTCCTAGTTAAGCCACACGATAAATTGGCGCAACGGTGATAAATCGAAAATAAATTGGTTTTAGATTTAGTGTAGTATATTTCTAAATATAATATGCAAATACTCAAAACTTTTATAAAAATTGGGTTAATTCGTAAGTTTTGGCCAGGTTCTTCTTTTTCGTACAGGGTGGCGACTTGGTTGAAAGAATTTTGGTTGGAAAAACCCTAGTTTTTTTAATCCAAAAAAATAAAATAGAAACCAATATTTTTTTTCCGATTTATCGCTCAAAGTTTGACCCGACATATATTGGTTTGACCTGCCTCAATCCGCCACAGGCCGCCACAAACCGTCACAGACCGCCACAATCGATATGGATATGTAGAACACTGTCTCTAAACAATCTCCTTCAATGATAATTGAGCTCCGCTCTTGTCGGAAAGTATACCCATACATGAAGTACCAGCTTGAGAAAGACCTTTATTTTCAACTGGACTTAAAGATTCCAAATAAGATGCCAATTAACCCCACCATAGCCCGACTATCGATCACCACTCGAACTTGGAACCCCATTCACAATGACATGGTAGCAAGAACAAACATAAAACATACCATTCTTGGAATAGGCCAAAATATCTCGCGTATCAGCTCGATAATCCAAGTTTTAACCAATGGGTCCACAAGATCGGAGACTTTATCCGAAAAGCTCGAATAAATGGGCCGTCTAATGATAATCTAAAAACTGCCATCCCCGCGCGACCAGGGGTCAGGTCAGATCGACGTGTCAATATCAATACCTATATTTGTATCTGGAATTCATTTTTTTTTTCTTTCTTGAAATAATTTTGTATTACGGATATTACGTCAAATATTTTCCAAAAATAATTGTGATACTCTTCAAATGTAAGCGGGGATCATTATTTGAATTTGTTATTCACTACAAACAAGCATTAGGATGTCGTAGCTTGGTCCCGACAAAACCCTCCGACGCTCGAGTCTGCCCTTGCATATCACATAATAAAGTTTGAAGTTTTAAGAATATAATTGGTGTAAACATGAAGATAATTACCTAATTAAGTAGTATTTATACCTACAATTAATATCGTCAACCGTGCATAATAAAGTCATGGAAAAATACGCATACACATGCCCAAATGAATACATGAACAATTCATAATAATTAGACACGAAATTAATTCAATCCCAACAACAATAATAAATCTTTTCTAAATAAACTTTCAGACAACAAATTCATACAAAACCTCACAACACAAAAAACTCAAGAAAATAGAAACTACAATTAAAAATTAAACGACTCGAAAATCCAAAAAAAAAAAAACACCCATGTTTCTTCAATTGAAATTCAGCGCCCTGGCTTTGCAAATCGGACACTCGTTCTTCGTCCGAAGCCAATTCTTGATGCACTCCACATGATAAACATGGCCGCAATCAAGGGTGGCGATAATATTCTCGTGTTCTCCGAACAAATCATCCTGGCATATAACACAAACTTCTTGCTCATAATTATCTACATTAGCTTCCAAAGAAGACCTTGTCCTCAGATTCTGGGAAATAGTTCGCTCCGACAGCCCACCGTTATTATTATTACTACTACCACCACCACCACCACCACCACCGGTGAAGTTGTTGTCGTCGAGAATTACGACGTCGTCGTCATCGTCGTCGTCCGATAACTCTAAAATTAGGGCCACCTCTTCTTCATCGAAAAAGTACCTGTCATCGTACAAGTACTGATCTTGATACCGGAGCAGCGATGCTGCGGCATTAGACATGCGGTTATTCGGATTAATACGATTAGGAGGACGACTGACGATGGGGGTAAAGTTCACCGGCGGCAGCGGCGCTGAACGGGGCTGCATGGTTTCACCGCCGCGCGCATATGAGCCGGCTGCGGGAGGTGGTGGATGGGGAGGGCGGACGGTGTTTGAGGCAGAAGGATCGGCGGCGCGGCGGCGGCTGAAATGGTCTGCGTGCGGCGGCGGAGATGACGACATAATTGGCGGCTGCTTTTTGCTTTTTTTTTTTAGTGGACTTCTCTTTTCTCTCTGTTAGGTTTTTATTGAGAGTATCGAAGGGTTTCTTGAGGTTCGTGTAAAGACCTAATGCTGTATATATAAAGCTAGCTGTAAGCCTGTAATAACTCTGTAACGGTCGTTTTTATCTTTCCTAGCTTTTTTTTTTTTTAAACCCTAATTCAAAAAATGGAATAAAAACTCACTTGTATACAAGGAAAGTGGAAACTAGTGTAGGAATTAGCTGTCCAAATTAATTTTATTTATCCAAATTTTATCCGAAACTTTGTAATTAATTTTAAGTTTTGTTTCAAAAAATAATTCTAGACCGTGTCCAATTTTTTTTTTATTTTTTATTTTTTTTATTTAAAAAAAAACATAAAACGAACATTAAATTACTACTACGAAACAATAGTTTTGGTACGGCATTTACGAAGATAAGTTTTAGAGAGATATACATTCCAAAATATTGTGTTCAAAAAACTCGGAGTGTTATAAAAAAACATATGCACGGCATTCTTCTGCGGACGCAAAAAAAGATCCCATTTTTGCTAGAGTAGTATCAACAGCTGCATTGATTTTTGTGTAACCGAATTGGACCGTGATTGCGTCGAAATTAGTCAACATCTCCGGAGAGTGAGGAATTCCCGATGCATTATTATTGCATTTGTCGTGGAAAGAAATTAATAGTTCTTTTGTCTATAGGATTAATTTATAGAAATTAATTATTTTTCACGTTTCCGTTCTGCATGATCAATAACAAAACAAGAGACTCAGTTTCAATAAGGAATCAATCTATTTCAATTTCTTTAGCTAAGTTGATTCCATCGTGTAGAGCGCTCGTAATTCAAGCTATTATTAGATGCAATTCCAATATTTTTAGTTAGTATAAGCAACCACAAATTTGCCGTTGTAATCACGAATAATTCCTCCAATGCCAATTTCCCATTATTTAATCGTGATGCACCGTCGATTGTTGAGTTTATACCAATTAGGGTTTTGTTGAAGTTGGAGATTTTGATCATTCGGTTATTTATGTTGTTCTTTATGTACTAGATTCCTTCCTTGGCCGCCACGTTCCAGATTCGTACCAATTATAAGCAAATTCCGTACGTTTGAAATATAGCTTCTTCTCTCGCTTTCGAAATTAGCCAAAATAAAGTGGACACGTGTTCTTGCATGTTTCGTTATTGATGCCTCTAAGATTACTACAAAGGTAGGTAACTAATGAAATCTACTTATTGAACAACACAATATACGTCTTAAAAACCCGTCAGTTCTAGATTCCGATAATCTAAATACGGTGAAATTTATTTTAATTTATGTAGTTATATGGATTTATTTAAAAAAAAATCCACATGGAAATAAATTACCATAAATATCGATACCCTATAACCTTTTTTTTTAAAAACTAGTAATTTTACCCTTGCGATGCACGTCTTTCTTTTGTTGATTTGTGAGTCATTTTTCTATAATAATTGCTCGGGAGTGTTTGAAAATATACTTAACAAATCGGTTCTAAACTACCAATTGCAAGTTCCTGATTTTGCAAAATGTTCAGTATAAATTTTAATATTTATAAAAATATTTTTAGACGAAAAAACTGATACGAATGTTCTCGAGTTAATATTCAAAACGGACTCTCCATTTTTCTACAAAAATCGGATCCCACTAAATTTGTGACAAGTGTCCAAATTTGACATTTATCATTTTAGGTTGTTTATTTTTTAATTTAAGCACATAATTACTATTAAAAAAAATACTACGCAAAACCGGAGTAACAAAAAAAAACTGAAATTATTTCCAAATAACAGACGGTAAATATTATTTGGAAAAAGAAGACTTTAAATTTTTATTTACTCTTCCAACCTATAGTAAATTTATTAATATTTATTATCATTTTAAAATTCAAATTTTATTTTAAATACTATATTTGTGTAGTAAAATTAAAGAATTTGCCAAGTTAGATATTCACATGAAAGTTTTATTTTTAAATTAAAATTTTATATCATGATTGAGAATAAATTATATGTATAATTAATGACCAAAATATTTGATTATAAGTAAAATCTTCTTTAAAGATATCTCAATGAATTCCTCCACTCGCGAGACCAGAATTGAAGATAAAGGTCGACTAAAAAATAGGGGTTCCGGAGTAGCATCGCCGATTTGTTTTAGGTATTAACAGAAAATAACTCACAGCAGTAAGTAATTTTTTTTTTTGTATTAGTAACAACTAGCAATTTTTTCCCCGTGCTATGCACGGGATATTATTTCAAAAGTAAAAAGAAATTATCAATTTAATGCAAAATAAGAAAATATAGTACACTAACATGCTAAAATTTAATAATGTAGTACTTATTCATATTTTATATAACATTAGTTTATTTAAAGTTTACATATTGAGATTTATAATCCAAATATATAGATTAAAATTATTCACGGTTTAGTTTCAATTTTGATAATTACTAAAATTTATAGTTAGAAATTAGAAGAAAAAATATTAAAAATAAATATTTACAGAAATACCATTAGAATTTTCTAGGGTTACCTAGCGTTTCTTTCTTTTATATATAAGATTATTTTATTTCAATGGGTATTCAATTAAAAAAAAATATTATATCGACAAATACATAACTCTAATTTTAAATAGTTTATCATGAAGATGACAAAAGTTAGGTTTTCCACCAAATACATGGTAAACAAAGTATTTAAAGAAACTATTTTAAAGAAATATTTTTACCAATTAACCAATTTTGACCCTAATTGAAAAACAATTTCCAACTTTGACCCGTCACCACCGAACACTGCCGTTGATTGTCGGTCTCCAGCGTTGACTTTTTATTTTGCTTTTTCTTAAAAACTTATTTTAATTAATATTATTGTTTTAGCTGTTAAAATACTGTCTCCAACAGTAATTTAACTGTTAATGACTTTTTTTTTTAAATTTTGTTTTTTCTTACAAAAATATTTTAGTTAATATTACTGTCTTGGCTGCTAATTTACTGTCTCCAACAATAATTTAACTGTCTAAAACAGTAATTTAACTGTATGAGACAGTAATATTACTGTCTGAGACAGTAATTTTACTGTATTAATTAATTTTATCGTCATGACCTGTAATTTTGCTGTCTTCGACCGTAGTATTACTGTCTCATGCAATAATACTGTTTGGGACAGTAATATTAGTGACATTACTGTTCGGGAAAGTAATATTCATAATATTACTATCCCAAACAGTAATATTACTGTCTGAGACAGTAATTTAGCAGCCAAGACAGTAATATTAATTAAGATAATTTTTTTGAATAAAATAAAAAGAAAAGGTCAATGCCAGAGACCGGCGGTTGACGGCCGGAAAAAAAAAATCAAAAACAATAAAAAAATGTTTTCAGAAATAAAAGCCAACACCAGAGAACCGCCCGGTCAACATCGGAATCTGGCCGGAAAAAAAAATTCAGAAAAAAAATTTAAAAAACTATTGAAATGGGGGTTAATGTGATATATTTGTTTAAATTCCGGTAAATGTGTAATATTGAGAAAGTTAGATTATAATGGATGGAATTGATAAAATTTATAAGGTAAATAACACTTAACTCCCTTGTGGTTTGGACATTTTGCACATGACCCTCTTATTATATGAAATTAGGCACATAACCTCCTTGTGGTTGTGATATTTTGCACATGACCCTTTTATGGTATGAAATTAGTCACATAAACCCCCTTGTGGTTTTGACATTTTGTACCTGACTTACTTATGGTATGAAATTTGGCACATAACCCCCTTAAATAGAAAACTAAAAAAGACTAAATTACCCCTATAGAAAACTGGAAAAGATTATTTTTTTTGTTTCTGAAAAAATTAAAATTCGATAACAGGTATAATATAATATATTATATAGAAAAAATACTGAGTAATAATCATAACTAATAATAATATTAAAGCTTTGAAATATGTAGAATTATTTTACTGAATTATAATTGAACAAAGAAATTGATAGCTCATAATTTATATCGAATTTAATTCTTTTATATTTGATTTGTAGTATATGAGATTTTCAAATGAGTTTCTAAAATTGAATAAATTGTCAATATTACAATAACATAATACTATATACCTTTTGTGTTGTAAAATTAAAAAAAAACACAATAATATATTATATTTATCATTTCACAAAAAAATACATTAAGCTTTTCATTTTATAGAATAATTATTTTCAAATTAAAGCAAGAAATTTTGACTTGATACAGTATCCACGAACAGCTGGTATGGTTGCAATTTTCCTAAACTTTATGGGTAATTAATTTCATACCATAAGGGGGTCATGTGCAAAATGCCAAAATCACAAGGGGATTATGTATTAGGATAGTAGACTAAAAGTATCGTTTTTAGCTACATAATTTTATAATTGAATTAATAAAATTGTATATTATCATTTTAGGAGAATATGCACTAGGGTATTCAATGCATTTAATTGATTGTTTGTTAATTAATTAAAAGCATAAGTCTAATATTCTAATAGTATTCGAGATGGTGTGCTAAGGCGCACAAGAAGATCATTTCGAAAGTTCGTTTAGAATATAAAGATAAACGTTCACAATCTAGATGGAAATGGACTAACCATTGGTAAAAGATTGTAGCACAATATTTAAGTGATTGGTCTTGATCACAGTAAATAGAGAATAACTTTTGTAGTTATTGTTTTGACTTATTGTGCAAGCACACCCGGCATGTGTTGAACCGGACAAAGTGAAATAATTGTTTCATCCCTGTTCATAAATGAAACTGTATTATTTCAAGTTGATAGTAAATTACTTACTTTCTTAATCCCTAGATAATTAACGTACATATTTAATTGATGATCTCTACTTTGATGTCACAATAGGAGAGATTCCTATAGTGAGTCAAATGGCCCCCGGTGCGTTGGGTAGAGATATTAAGAATTAATAGGTGGAAATTAATTATCGAAAGGAATCCACAT